CTCTGGGGAGTTTCTGCTTTCTCCTCCTCACATAATTACAAACATTTCTCTTCGTTATTAAGTCATAGTTTTATCTTTTGCTCACGCTACAAGCTAAACAAGTTCTACACAGCAAATTCAAAAGTGTTAAATGTTTTGGTGTTAGTAGACTTTGTGCAAAAGCAGAGTTAATTTTACTCTAATAGAGTCACTTTCTGTTTATGTAAGTCTGGGGTGTATATTATTAGTAGTTAAAATCCAGTGTTAAAACAAAGTGTTTCCGTATCAAATCTAGAGGTGTTAAAATGGAATCAGTAACTCTTGACCTCTGAACTCTGAACTCCACCAGCGGCTCTAACACTGAAGGAGTTCATTCACTGCCTCCGCCCCAGATTCCCACCGAAGCGAAGCGACAGAAGCCAAATCATTTCAGGACTATTTACTCTCCACATGTCTGAGTTATTTACTGCACTCGGTAAGTCATTTTTTTCTGAGATGGTTTATAACTATTATTTTGAGTTGAGCTCAACCTGTATGATAGACGTCACGTTCGCCTCACGGCTCGTTGTTAGTTAGCATATTTAGCTTAGCATGCCGAATGTTAGCGGAGTATTTGTTGGAAAAATATCGAGCCGGTGAACATTTAATCAAATTATTGGCTAAATTGAACAGATCCGTAATAATCTGGAGTATGTTTTTTCGTGATGTTGAACGTTTACATGAGTATTGGTCAGATTTATCAACCTTTCTGATCGATTTTTTTCCTTTGAAAAAATGTAAAAGGCTTTTTTACTTTGAGAGCATTATTCCCGCTGTTGTGTCTTCTTATATACGTTTTGCAGCATCTTTTAATCCTTTTATTGCCTTTTTGTATATATTGGAACCAGTTTGGTTGAGGATGAATCTCCAGCCTCATCCTAACCTTCCCCTCCTGATCCCTCCATGGATTCTTCGAAGATTCAAGCTCCAAAAATGATTATGTAAGTGTTAATATCTCTGAAACCCTACATTTCTGTAATGGAGGCTTGTTGTTAGAGTTGTAGTAAAAATGTATTCCTTCGCTCCATTTCTCATTGTTATGGTTTTTGTTTGTTATGATCCAGAGACCGACACTGGCTGTCCTACTCAGACTGAAGACGGTCCGATGCAGTAGAGGAGCTTGTTGGTGTCTCCGGCCAAACGTCACGAACAGCCCAACAACCTGAAGACAATCTGTTAGTGATGGACATCTCTCTGGTGGAGTGCAGAGAGGATCTGTCTCTTATCAACAGAAACAGAAACTGGATAAGAAATGATGGATCTGAATATCAGGTTGGTCTGTTATGTAATGTACATATCTGGCAATCTACCTGTTAAAAGAAAATGTACTCTATCAAATATTACATGAACTGCATGCATTGATACAGGCTTTACTTTCTCCACCTTGTACTTTGAACAAGTTCATGCATATAGTATTTTAGAAAAATGTATTAAGCATACTGCATTTTGTATTGCACAGCTGATATGTTAGACCTTTTAAAAAGCAATATGTGAAGGAAAGCGACATGTGAAACATGCACATTATTCCACTCTGTTATATGTTTTGTAATTATGGTGCACGTTTTGAAATAAATGCATTTGAGACAATCCTTGCCTCTTTATTAAATGTTTATTTTCCAAAGAATTTTTAAAAGTTCAAAACAATAAAATACCTATTTAATATTAATTACAAATAACTCTTAAGAAGTTAAAGAAGTACTCTGTGAGAGTTAATATTAAGATCTAACACTGAATTAGTGCTAGTAAGTGTTAAATGATTAACTCCAGCAGATTTGATATTTGACAATTTATTAGAGTTAAGATACTAACTCTCCAAAAAGAGTTAAATTAACACTTTTTGGTCTGGACCCATATAGACACTTTAAAAGTGTTGAAATCAAATCTGACAGTGTTAATCTGGGCCTCCTGAATTTGCTGTGTACCATGCTTTGAATTCTGGAGCAAGGAAGTATTTTTCATTCTTCCATAGCATATTTCATTTTTGAGAACTGAAATCAGCTGCACAAATGTTGAAAACTTTCTCTTTGGTTAGCTTGATAGCGATCTTGAACTGTCTAGTTCAACAACCAAACATTTATACTACACTGTTTGTATTTGTGTGAAAGTCTTAACTTTAAATGAGTTGATTCTCCTGGTTGGCTCTGTATGTTTCTGAGGATTTTTTGTCTTCATAATGGTGTGTTTGATAACATTTGATAACAATTAAAATTTCTCAATGTTTGACATTGGCTAGCAAAATGTTTTTACATCAGGCTACATGACTACTACATTAATATATCAATGAGCTACTCTAAACTGTAGTTGGTGATATGTTGTTTACTGCTGAGCATCATCATTTATGTGGCTAAAACAAAACATTTTTACATCAACTTATAAATTATGTTAAACTTCTCCAATTAAAACTAATTGCTTAGTTTCAGCATTAATTCACATTCTCAGCCTTCACTAGGTCTGGTCCACATTCTCTGGTGAGAAAGACTCCTGGTATAAATTAAAATTTTAGCTAATTTAATTACACCTAAGAGAAATTAATTTAACCAAAGAAAATCATGAAAATGTGTGTATGTATTCCATCTTAAATTGGGGTGCACCGATTGCAGTTTTCAGTTTTAAAAAACCTGGCCTGCTGATTTTGATTTTGGCTGATACCAATTTTTTATATCTGCTAAATATAGCAAAAAAGTTGCTGAGTTGACAACAGTGGCTATTGTTAACTGCAAACATTCAGACCTGACCTGGTGGTCTGGTCTATCAGCCAAACCTCTCACTGGAGAGCAACAGAGGATCGTGGCTAGTTTATAAACCTGAGGTAGATAAGATTATTGGATATGACTGGCTTCTCATCTAAATATTGGCCGATCACCAATCCCAGAAAGTTAAGGACATAGGCACCGATAAATGTATCCTATATATAAATGTATCCTAGGACATGGAGTCTTGGGCCAGCCCAGTTCAACAGTTTATCAGCAAAAAAGTGGATTCAGGGGTTCATTACACTTTGACCATCAAAATGAATATAAAGTGGAAAGTACTAACACTTCACTTTTTCCAAATTTTGCTGTGTTAGCCTTATTTCAAATAGTATCATATAACAACAATAGTATTTGCTTGCTGAAACTAAGCAAACAAAATATGCATTTTTAAAATGTTTCCTCAGAGAACATCCCATTAATCAGAACTGTCCAAGCTAAAACTCTCAAGCAAGACACCAGTTTCAGTATCTGGGAATTATTATTGATGGGGAGATTTCTTTTAAAGTTCATGTGAAAAAGAAGTGTCCAATTTAAGGGTGAAGCTTGGTTTTTGCAACAAAAACAAAACATGTTTCTCCCCCAGAGATCAGAAGCTTAAATAAAGCCAATTTTTTTTGCTTTTACTTGTTTATTCTGATGTAGTGTATATCTATACTTCAGTATTTTAAAGCTGGGGTATGCAACTTTTATAAAGACAAAACATATATGTTTTTTACATATTTGCTAAAACTGTCACTATCTCCTGACAGTATAACATGAAACACATACTCTGTGAAAAGATGGATCTCCTCCACCTCCTCCCTGAGCTAATTCCTGTCTAAAGAAATGCATTGCTCCCGACCAAAAATACCCAATCAGAGCCAGGACTTGTATATGCACGGCTAAAGGTACTATTGGCAGAGTTTTTTCACAGGAAAATTGCTGTCATTGGTGGTGATGCTAACTAGCCTGAGCAATCCTGGCAGACTCTGCTGTGATGAACCAGCTGTAGCATAGTAGAGAGAAAGGGGGACAATATGAACAGCATACACACAAAGGTGACTGACAATGCTAAATCCCTTCTCCTGGCTCTGATTGGTTGTTTCTAACTGAGCTATGTATTTCTGTAGTTAGTACTGGGAGCACTGGGAGAAGGCAGAGGAGCTTGGTTTTTTCACAGATTATCTGTATGCTATCATACTGTCATAACATAGTCACTGTTTCAACAAATACGTAAAAAAAACATTTTACTTAATAAAAATTACAGACCTACTTTAATGGATCATATGTTCCAAAGGAACAACTATAAAATAGTTCCTTATCCCAATTTTGATCCAATCTCTCTGAAGAGACAAGGGTAGAGTGGGGGTGATGGTAGGGAGGATGTTCAGAACTCGGTGAATCATCTGCACAGTTTACTCAGGTCTGACATCTGGATCTGGAATGAAACATGAGATCATTAACATATTACTAACAATGTGATCAACAACATCTGATCTGAATTAAGTGATCAATAGCACGTACTTAGCTACAATTGGTCAGTAATATGATCAGTAGCTGTCAAAGAGATTCAGTAAGCAGAATCGGAATAAATCTTCCAGAATGTTTTCCCCTTCTGGAAAACTAGCTGGTCAAGTAATACATTAATGTAGAAAAGGAAGTGGTAGCTTTAAGAACAAACATAGAAAAAACAGTTTACAACAGGAATTGTTACTCCTTGAAATATTGAAATATTTATTTGATTTCTTTTCTCAGTGCATTATTACTTTTACATTTTTCACAGTAGATTTCACAATTTCCTTCAAAAACTATTTCCGTCCAATAAATTCTTATATAATATTCCTCATCCTCCTCCGCTTAAGTTATCATGTTTTGTCATCTCCTTCCTCTTCCTGCCCAGCAGCTTCCCACTCAGCTTATTCTTGCTCTCTGTTCATATTCCTTTCACTTTCCTCTAGGGACAAGGAGGTGTGTATAAAACTACACAAACTGTGCAGGTTAAACTGTTCAATATAAAAAAATTTCTGACTGTTTCAAGATCAACTTTAAACTAAAACAAAAGTCTTTAAAGAAACAGAACCTGGATCAGAACTTCACTCCGATTGTGGGTCCTGAAGCAGCTCCATATGAAGACTGACAGACTTTCCACATACTACTGGAAGCTTTAAGTCCGGCTCTAAGCTTTGACTGGTAATAAATACATCAATAAATATAAGTATTGCAGCTAAAAAAAAGAGAGCTTCTGTACTGGCCCATCAGTTTACAGTCTTTATCACTTCATGAATATCTGTGTCTGGACATCTTGCAGCAGTCTAAGCTGAGTTGCATTCAGGAACACTTCGTCCCCACAGCTCTGTCCTATGTGTACAGTGTCCCAGTCAAACGGTCCCAATGTGTGAAGTAAGGTGCATAGTTGCATTTCGACTTGATGTGGTGGAGGTCATGGTGGCGTGCACCACCATACAGGCCGAAAGGGATCAAACGGTGTGTAGCCCAGGGCAAATCATAACCACAGTGGTCCTCCACCGACAGCCAAATGTTCACAATGAAGAAGAGCATCTCTGTGAGGGGATGGCAGCCCAGCAACAAAGGGTTGGCAGCAGCAAACAGGCCCAAACTCAGTGTCTCCCAGACCCCGGAGTACTCTGCAGTCAGTGCCGAGGTGGAGGTGTAGGTGTGGTGCAGCTGCAGAAGAAGGAAGAAAGGTGAACATAGGGAGAAAAACTTTCAGAAAGATCAATAAAAGCTACAGAACATGATAAAACCTTAAACTCTGAACCAACCTTGTGAAAGGTGCGATATAACCAGGGCACCTTGTGGTGGAGCAGGTGCCAGATGAAGCTCTGAAAGTCAAAAAGGAGCAGGCAGGCCAGGACCTGAGCTACCATTTGAGGTAGGGGTGGAGCCTCCTGGGGCAACAGCACTGGTCGGAGGTACCAGTTGAGCACAGTGAGGGGGAAGATGAAGATCAGGTGGTTATAGAGGGTCAGAGCCAGGCAGCTTTGCGCTGTGGTCCAGTTGATGGAGCTCTGAGGCTGTAACTTGTACTTGTGCACCAAGCTCCACCTGGAGGAGAGCAGGTCCAGCAGCAGGAATGGCAGGCAGAAGATCAGGTACACAGTCAGGGAGAAGAAGACCGGGAAGAAGGGGGAGTGCAGGAGAGACGAGTGTCCTAGCAGGAAGCTCCAGACTGGCTGTAACAGCATAATTCTGGATCTGGTTCAGTCTGTTCAGAGTATAGCTCAGTGGTTCAATGTCTTAGCTCTTCCACCGTCAGCAGCTTTTATAGGCAGGTCAACAGCCTATCCCACTTCTGACGCAGAGCATTCCCAGCCCTTGACTCTGCCCCATGCCCTTATTTAGACTCTTCCCTTTCCTTCCTGCTTGGGGAAATTCCTCCACGTGGCAGAGGAAACTAGCTGCAGGCTCCAGCATTCCTGTCTGCTTATCTGAGTTTTGTTCTTGGGATTGTTCTTCCCATCAGACCTCCAATTAAAACATAAATTAGATTATTTCTGTACAATGATTTATTTACAAATCTAGTTATGAATCACTGACCTGCATACTGTTGTGTTAGGGAATCTGTGTTAAAAGTCTGATTTGTTAAATGTGTCACTGAGTCAGAATTTCCAAAAAAGTAATAAAGTTCTTCTGAGGAAAACGACTCCATATCCACATATTCTGAACTGTTCAACATGTCGGCTGTCAGGATGACAGATAACTGAAGATTTCTGCAAACAACTAGCAGAACTCCATTTAACATTAATGTTTGTTTCTAAGTTTAAACTGGGACTGTATTTTGTAAGCAAGAATTTATCAGATCTTCTAACACAAACAGATTAATTCCATTTATTTGTTCATTTTAAGCTTGATTTCATAATATTTATAATGAAAACAGAGTGACTAGAGTTTCAGCTTTCTGCTTTGTTGTTAGAAAATTTTCCAAGCCATGATCCAGAGCAAAGAGTCTGTGTGGAGTTTAAAGCCTGTCTAACATGTGTCGAGAAAAGTCGAGCTCATCCCACTTCCCCATGCTGGAGATTTTAGTTTAATAATAACAATGAATAAAGTTACCTTTAAAATTGATTACACAGGTGACATCAAGACCCAACAGTAGAGTCAGACGGTAATGAAATTAATCTGGTTGTGTGTGTTGATATTGTGTCCTGCAAACTTTGCTTTAATTCTACTTTTTCTATTTAATTATAAAAAATCATAGTTAGGAGAAAGAGAGTCATGGAACAGGAAGAGCAGGTTTCCTGAAGAAAGGGGAAGTTTCCAGCCTGCAGTGAATAAAAATAGTTCAGAGTGCTCATTTCAAGGCATTAAAGGTTTAAAGAATAAAATCTAAACATTTTGAGTAATTGGATAAAACCCAGAGTAAAATACTTGAATTAATAATGATAACTTGTAATTAAGCCAATAATTAATATTGGTTTAACCAGTGGTTGATGTTGGTTTGATTATAAGAATATTTACACTTACTCTTAAACTTATGGAAGTACTTACAGGTGAAAGAAGTAACTGTAACATGGTATCAAATGATTGGAATAATGGATTATTCTTGGTTTCTTTTCAGAAATGTCTGTAATAACTCACATTATGATTATAATAAGAGTAACTAATAAGTAATGGTTATTATAAAATTATAAGTGAATGCTAAATCAGAGAAACTAAGGGGTTATAAATGTGATTTTGACATTGAACTTGAAATGGTGTAAAATGTGTAACTGTAATCAAAGGTCACTGATGTTGTGTTGGAGGTAGATGGTAGGTGAAAGGTCAGGGGGAAAGAGGAACTGATAGGAGAGCGGAGGTGACCAAGGCCTTATTGCTGAACTTCAACTTTCCTAAGAAAAGGTTGGATGTAAGAGGACTGTTGAGCAACCCTGGGTCATTAGAACAGACATCATGTCTCCAAGATGGTGATGGATATGAGATCATTGGTCCAAGCAGTCAGCCAATGAGACAGGCACAGCAACAAAGCTAGCCAATGCAAACACACCAAGAGGGTGGATAAACCCTTTATAAGGTGGGTACAAAAGAGGAATCTTTGGTTGGATCCTTCAGGCAGCTTTGAGCCAAGATCGAGATGGACAAAGAACTCCACAGCTGAAGAAAATCCGGGGCCACAGAGCCGAAGACTGTTCTGCGCATGGGGACCAACCCGTCAGCCATGTGGCTTCAAATTGCACTTCTTTCATCAGCTGGGTTCAGACCCCAAAGACAAAGACCCTAAAGACAAAGACCAAGGCAAAGATGAAGATAAAGACAAAGGCAAAGAACAAAGGCAAAAATGAAGAACTGGTGTGTTCCTTCCGTGAGACCAGCTAGTCTACATCTCCATGGACCAGAAAGATCGTGAGACGAGGAGAAAGGAGCTACAGAGCTGCAAGACAAGAAGCTGAAGACCGCTATGCACAAGAGGAAGTCACCCTGAGGCCCAAGACTGACTTAGAGCAGCACTCTAAGTCAGTACTCTTCCTGCCAGCACCCAAGTCCTGTGTGACCTCACCATC